AGGGCAGACGGGGCGTTGCCTCAACGAACGCTTGCGTGAGCACAGTCTGGCCGTAAAAGGAAAAAATGGCGGTCATTTAGATTTCCACTGTAGGACATGCGGTTGCTCCCCCCGTTTCGAGAGTGCGTCAGTCATGGCTAAGGCGCGTGAAAAGACCAAAAGAGAGATAATTGAAGCGTACTTTATCAGGCAATATGATGACAAGTGCATAAGCATGCCTTCCATTTCACTTTCAGACAGGGAAATGGTCTGCCTGCAAGGTCATGTGTAATGTTGTGGCTAACGCCTTGCATTGTGTTCTCTTCCATTCATCTTTTTTGTGTTGTTTATTAGTGTTCTTGTTTTCTTTCCCATGTGACGCTACGGAATGTTTTGTTAGATTTTATGTTAGTATAGTTTTTGACTCTCTCGGCGTACTGCTTCTTCTGGTTTCTCATTTGGGGCTGCTTGGAGTGAATATGAAAATGTTAATTTATTGTTTTATTTGGTGCTAAGCGCTATTTTTAGGGTTTTAAAACGAAAATCTCTAGAACATGTTTTCATTTTTTTATGCTTTAGTTGATGCTTGGTGCAATGAATAATAAAAGATAAAAGATGAGCGCACACCTTGGGAGTAAGCAGTTTAGATCGTGGTGGGTATCACTTTTGTATTTTGCCATTTTTCACGTTTGTCATTGTGGTGGCAGTCAATTTTGATTTGATTTGGTCGGCTTTGTTTGCGGCGTCTTTGGTTTTGTGCGCATCGTGGAAGCGCAGCGTAGCATGTATATATTGGCTTCAAAAAACGACAATAAACAGTTGGTTGTCTGCACTCTTTCCTGTCTCTCTTGTTTTTTTCTTCAAGTTTGTGCAGCAATTCAATTTTTCAAGTATGAACCAACTAGTCTGCAAAAAAGTAGAGCGCTAGGCTCTGTCTGTCTAGACGTGCCATTATTTCTTCTTGTTGTTTACAAGCGCTGCAAGAAAACCCACCATTAAAGTTTTCTTTGTACTCGATGAGAGTTGCCTTTGGAGCATTGATCATGATGGCACCACTTATAGCCCAAAGAAAACTAAGTGGCGGATTTGCAGTAATCCAAATATATCTACAAAGTCAACTCGCCTAAGTCTACAACAAAATTTTTTTGTTGTAGCTCAATCTTGCTATACATAGCAAAATCTGGCAACACTGATGAGTGAATATGGATGCAGCCAACATTAATAGATAGTAATTTTTCAGTTATCCAACTCCTCCTTTCGAGGTGGCCGCAATTCGTTCCAAGAAAGTGTGGGGGCGCTGCAGTCTAACTTTGCGCCAAGTAACCAGCTGCTTTCTGCTGTCTTCACTGCTGCTGCTGTTTCGTGCATTCCATGCCAGTGTTCCGTCGCACTTTTTTTTTCTGTGTGTATGTCTCATCGCTTTCTGTACACATAGTATGCTGCCACGATCTTCTGAAGACAACTCGATGCCTAGAGTCACGAAGATACTCAGACATCCAGGATGTAGGAAACTCTCCGATTGTTGACATCGTGGGCATGATTTAAGCATTGACCACAAGTACGTCTGCCGAGGTTTATTCTACTGTTGCTGTTATCCCGTGCGCTGTAGCTCAGACCCTCCGAACATCATAACGATGTGTTTTGTGACCGGGCGCACCAATGGGTAGAGGAAAAGCCCCGAGAAACGCCACTTCTCTCCTTCGTCCGACCTGCACTGTTACTGCAGAAGTGGAAATGTATGAGAAAGTTTGGGAAACACGCGCATGGTGGACGATGTTTACTTTCAAGAAAGCGACATCCTGAAGACATATAGGCACATCATAAATAGAGAAGCCGAAACCGACCAAGGTGCATGGGCATTGAGGAGTGATGGAGTTCTTTGATTATTTTCGAACCTCCCAGTGTATTTGTAACGAAGCCGTAAAAGAAAGGGTACCTGTACAACAACCAACTGCTGCTGCCTTGCAATCTGCCAGAATAACCCCGGCAACAGGAGAAAAACTCCAGTTTTTCTGAGCGATTGAAAAAAAGTGTGCTTCAACTTTCCTGCAACTAGAGTTCGGGGGTCATTGAGGAGGTGGGAAAACCTCTGGCAATAACCTTCTACAGTCGAACTCCGCTACAACGACAATTCACGATTCGTCGCCAGCAGTCCATAGGAGTCAATGCATAAATATTGTCGCCACAAAAAACACTTTTTCTTCGATCGACATGCTTCAACAAAATTTTACAATGCAATTCCAGGCTCAGATACTTATTTCTATGCAGCAAACCATATCTTTAGCATTTCGATGCATTTTCAGAGCCTGAAAATGCGTCAATAAAGTCTAAAACACGCGTTGGCACCACGGGAAATCGCCGCTATACCGCCGCGGTTCAGCAAACATGGGTACAGCCATTGCTCGATAGTGATGGCAATGAGAGTGCCCTGCTTTTGCCACTTGCTTGCTTTCGAGCCACAGACGATCCGAAACTGAAGCACAGTGTTTCCTTCACACAGCTGCTGGGTGAAAGTGCGGAACAATGCCTGTTCCAATTCCGATGCTTATCATTATGTTCACGCTTGGCCAGTGTGGTAACTAATCAGAGCGGCTATTTGTGCGCATAATCCACAAAAACAGCTAGCCACGAGTGATGGATGATAAGAATGGCATAGAATAATGCAAAAGTCGCCGCTCCACCATACCCTGCCTGCATCTCGGCGTTGTCGGATACTTTTGACGGCGGACAGCTGCTGGTGTAAACATGTTAATGCAACTGTTTGGTTCGTTTACGAGGGCAGTTTTAAGTGTTGTTTAAGCATGCCTTTCACTATGGCCTCGCTATGCATGGGTGAAAATCACGTCGTGACGCTGCTGGGAAAGATTAGAAAGCAGCGAACATTTTTTTAATTTTGAGAATAGACGTTCCTTTGTTTTGCTAGCTCAGATCAGCTATATTTTTTCGATTTTGCTACAACGAAATTTTCGCTTCAACGAATTTTTTGCTGCACCCCGTCAGTTTTGTTGTAGCGGGGTTCGACTGCATAATGCCGAATTCACAGAATACATTTACTGGCTAAGCAAAAGGAGAAGGTGCGCCGCTAAGAAATATTCACTGCAAAGACTGTGTGGGCATGACTGGTGCTAACAGCTGTGTGTGTGTTTCGTGCCATTTCAGCACGGTAACACTGAAAAAAGAAAAACAGAATGTTAAAACAACCAAGAACGAGGTGTAGACTGCAACCAGTGTTTTAAGGAAACGCTTGATCTGTGCCACTACCGCTCGAGAATGGAGAAAACTTGAGATACGCCGGCTGAGTGAAAAAAAATTGAGGGCTGCGTTCCCAGCGAGTCTCACTGATCTAGTTGAGATTTACCTGAAGTGCAGAAAGTGTCCATTCATTGTACATCCATCATGCAACAAGAAGCAAAATCACTGAATTGGTATATGTACAGAACAGCTTGTCTCATGCTTTGTTTGTCGCTCAGAAGCCCAAGTTGTAACAAGAATTTAGATATGCGCTTATTTGAAATTCAAATGCTCGTGACTAATGTGTGACAGTGACAAGTGTTCTTGTCATCAGTGTATTGCACTGATGTTTTCCTATTTTCACGAAATTAGCACTTTTTCAATGATCCCATTTTTTCAAAGATCATCCACCCAGTCACCCATTCACCCATAAACCTCAATACTTCAGAAGAAGAAAGTGCACTGGTTTATATACTAGCTAAACAGAGAAATAGTGTCGTTTCAGTGGAATTTTAAATGTGGCTGATACCTTACAGCAATGGCTCGGTTTCAACTTCTTTTAGGGTACCGCCGACGTGCTTATTGCTGCTCAAAGTTCATGTGCAAGGGTTGAAGAAATATATATGTCGAGACTGGCAAAAGTAGCTTCTAAACAACTAAGCTGGAACCAGATAAGTCACAGCTTAGGCTTCAGTGAGACGTGTTTAATACAACTGAGCTCCAAATTTTGTTTCTACTACCTGGAAGAACAAGAAGTTACAGGGTGGCAAAAGGGCTCTTTAATCGACAAATGCTAGCTTAGCACCACGCTTGCACGAGTTATTTACCAAGGACCCGGAAAGACGTCCTACACGCATCTAGGCTCTACGTTATACTCCTCGTGCCTAAACCGAGAAGCTGTGGTGTTGTGTAAGCCCTGCTCACCGGCTACAGTGCGCCTAGCTGTAGCAAGCAACTCTTGTTTCCTAGGGGCAAAGTTCGACTGCAGTGCCACAGTGGCGGGAACTGCAGCAGGTCGCCTGCTCCTCAAAGGCGACGTGGAGAATTTCGAAACTGAAAAAGTATTCATAAATATTGGATGCATCCGCATCCCTTTTGTAGCCATCGCTCAGTGTTGCTACGTCAATAAAAATAATCAGCTAGATTTGGTGGCCTGCACTTCCAATTGACAATTATAGCAGAAATTTCCATTATTGCGCAGTATGTCAGACAAGTGCAGAATGGTGCATTTAGTGCAGCACTTTGACCTTTGTGTGTGCCATAACCTATGAAGCGAAGGACACTATGAACAATGTCGTTTTGTCCAAACCTCGATACTTTGAGGAATGGCGAATGTCTTGAGCACCCATGTTGGTCTATACACTGAAACCATCAATTTTTTAAACTCAGGTTGGATTTAGATTAAGGTCAATTCTAAATTCATTATTACAGGTTCATGTTAATTTCTGGCAAAAATTTCCACCAGGGTTTGTGTTGACAAACATAGGACAACACAACTACAAAATGAATACGAGTTGCTTTATTTGGCACATCCTTTGCAATAATTCAGAGCAATTTGCATTCGCCAAACATTTTTGTGACAAAATTTTTTCAGCATGGGTCAATAGCAACTTAAACATGCGCAGTGCTATAGTGGGACTACTCACATTGCTTCAGTGATTGCTTCATCTGTGCTGTGTGGACAGACACTTGTGTGGCATCAACATGCCACTCCTGTTTGGCTAAATTCATTATAAGCTGTCTTCTGAGTATGCTTGCTTTTCTTTTTTAAAGAAAACTGCCCATCTCACCTGCGCATGACGAGGTAAAGAGTGGCGTTGCGCCCGCATCCTCCTGGGTGCAAGCGAGGAGACAGGGCACTCGGCCAGAGTACGGTGGCACCAGGAAGCAGGGACACCGAGTCCACAAATGCCACTGGCATCTCCACTATGTGGGCATGGGGGGGCAGGCGGCAACGCCACCTGTTGTTGCACAAGACACATCCCAGTGGGAAACAGGGCATTTTTCAATTGTCTACTACACTCTATCCATGCACAACACAACCTTTAGAGAAAAGGCACTTAACATTGCCTCCGCCCTGCTCATTGCATGGTAGCGTTGCAATCTCACTTCCTTATCATCTTTGTTTGTTTTAAGGCTACCGAGAAAGCAGCTGCTTCGCTCCTGTTACTAGCACATCATGAGAATCTTTCTCTCTTGTTACCAATAATCACAATGAGTTGCTACCAATATTCACAATCACTCAGTCTCATACTTTTTCTGCAACACGATGATCGCACTGGCAAGCTCATACTTTGCTACAACAGACATCAAGAGGGACCAATCCAGATGTAATAATGACAGCAAATTTTTTTTCTTGCTGCTTCGACTGAATGATAAGAAGTGAGCCATGAAGCAAGAAGCTACAAAATTTTTAAATTTTGAAAACACATGGTCATGTGAATTGTATACTCTTCTACAAATAAAAGTGGGAGAGAGAATTATTCAATGTAGCACTGTTTGCTGAACTTCTATCATTTCGCAAAGGGAAGCCACGCCAGGCCAAATGGCCCTTAGCTTCGCTTCGCTTTTCTGTATCTCATCAGAAATAAAATCTGTTTATTCCTTCAAAAGTAGCTCCATTCATTGGAAATTCTAGGGGGCACCAATTCATGCGATCGACTAACATAGACTCCTGCTTGTTCACCTTTTTTCTGTGAAAAGTTAGCTATGTGTTTGATGCTTTTTGCTCCAGTCGACGCCTGAAGTGTTGAGGACCACGTGGAAATAATTTTGTCATGGTGGGTGGATCTTTTACAGACTTTTGAAGAACTTTTTTGCTCGACCACGGCGTGGCTTGCTAAGCCTAAAGTTAAGCTTAGCTAAGCCTAATGCTAGGCTTAGCTAAGATGGCTATGCAAGTCACTGTGCAAGGAGAGGACATTTCTCCTGAAGAATTCCAGTGTTCTAGGTAGACAACGGCGCTTTCTAAGCGTAAATCAACTAAAACACTTGTGGTGGGCACTGAAGTTCAAGGTTCACCATACGGCAAGAACGCTGGCATCCGATTTCCCACCAACGTGAAGAAACACCTCGCCAACGCGTCAAGGCTGCCTCATCTACCAAGGGAGAATTTTCGAATCATTGTTAGGCCTCGGGGAGGCCTGTACGTTAGGAATACCAGTAAGGGCCAGATTCCTCATGCGCTCATGACAGCCGCGCGTCTCTTCGCTGCGGATGTCACAGAAGGCATCATTTGTCCTAACGCTATGCAGAACATTGTTGTGATTAGTACGCCATCGCAGGCCAATGCCAAGGCCTACGCAAGTCTAGAGGCGATCACCATTAATAACGCAAGGTACGAGGTTAGCTCTTACATTGCTGCACCCGGCAACACATGCAAGGGCATCATCAGAAACATAGATATGGAAATTGACAAGAAGAGCTCAGAAGACTTCTTATTCAGCCGAGGAACCCCACTGTTCTCGAAGTGCAGCGAATCAAGAATTCTACCACAGTCATTATCCTCTTTGAAGGACTTCGAGTCCCAAATTGCGTCATGTGCGGTCACAGCATAGTCAAGTGTACCCTCTACCGATGGCAGACGGGTGTTTACTATACCTGTGGCAGACTTGGCCACAGAGCCGACGTGTGCCCCACTCCCGGAAATGTTAGCTGTCGAGGTTGCGAAATGACCTCCCCTGGCGACCAGCACGTTTGCTCATCGAAGTGCGCCTTCTGTGGAGGGCCTCATCTAACGGCCGACAGAACCTGTACACAAAGATTCGAGATACCTTACATCGTCAGACAGCCCAGAACAGAGAGACGCGATTTTGACAGGGACTTTCCACGGATACATGAGCTGTCCAAACAAGTCCAGGTCCCAGTCCAGGAGCTCGAGGCGGCGCTCCTGATACCGGAGCGGTCCCCGATCCACAAGCCGTTCACAGTCCAGAAGCTGTTCCCGATCACGGGGCCCGGCCGTCAGCATTCAGGTGCCTGCTGCCACAGCGACCGAGTGGGCTGACCACGTCAAAGGATCCCAGAAACAGGTAACGAGGGGCATGCTGCCAGAGCAGTACAATGATATAATTATTCAGCTGGAAAGGAAAAGCGCTGCACTAAAGAAGGCGATTGCGCAACTTAGAGTCAAGTTAGTCGCACTTAACAATGATTATAATAATGCTAAGAGTAAGGCTCTACAACCCCCTCAGGTCACTAGACTCGAAACGCGCGCGCCTATGGAAATGCCTATGGAAACACCTATGGAAATGGCCATGGAAACGCCCGTGGAAAACCCTGCCAAGACGCCGGTCAAAACAACCATGAAAGTGCAGTGTACTGCACTTTCATGGTTCCAAAAAGAGGGCTTTGACGAGGCCCGCTCTTGATGAGGAACTGCATAGTTTTAAAACGAAGATCAGAGACATGTTCCAGTCCCTTAGCCAAACAATCGCATTGGTTCATGTTAAGGTCGATACCTTGGCGGACAAGTTCACCACACTGGATGCTAAAGCCAATATGTTGGACGCTGTGATAATATGGGCAGAAGAGTGAAGACGACAAAGAAGAGCGCACAGGATCGGGAAGCGCGTGACAGCGTTCGAAGCAGCGAAGCGGGTAAGGACAGACGGTTCTTGGCTGGACAACCGGTCCGGGGAACTAGAAGACGTCCTCTAGGCGCTGTACTGTCCCGGACTCCAGCTGGGTTACTGGCCCAGGGACCAGGCGATCCGCTGCTGTTCAGGCTCTCGCTGCTGACAGCTGGACAATCGGCTAACGAGGCCTCGACTCCGGCTGGGTGACTGGCCCAGGGACTAGGCAAGGTTCCGCTGTTCCAGCTGCCGTCCCAATTTGTTACGAGTTCCGGTTTGCTGTGGGCCGCTGGTCCTGTTGCCGTTCCGGGTGGCTGGCACGACCCAGGTGTGCTACTGGGACGAACGCGGCGGCTGAGAGCTGTTGCTCCAGGACGGAGCTTCCGAGCGACCGCTGCCCTCCTGCTGCTACTGCGGCAGAAGGCCGCGAGATGGCGTGGGTCAACGGGCCAACTCACGTTGAAGACACCAACAGGACAGACGGCACGTCACCCCAAGCAAAAAACGGCGAGAGACTTTTAATTAGTGAGAGGTTTCCCATAGAACTGCATGTGACAGACTATGTTTAGAAATAAATAATAATAGTTGCTCCATTATTAGTTGCTTTTCCTGTGTAAATATAGTGTGTGTGTGTGTGTGTGTGTGTGTGTGTGTGTGTGTGTGTGTGTGTGCGCGCGTGCGTGTGCGTGCGTGCGTGTGTGTGTGTGTGCACTCGTGGCTCGATTGTTTCTTGACTAGCGGTCCTGGGCCCAAAACTTGACACTACGTCACAGACGCTAACTTCTATGGATTGGACGCTAAGGTCAACGCGCTCGAATGCAGGCACATATTTTTCGAGCCTGACCATGGCACGTACGCCTGAAGAGTTGAGGATTCGGCAGTGGAACTGCTGGGAGTTTTCCCGCAAAAAGGCAGTTCTTCAGCAGTTCATTCATTCTCACTCTGAAAATGATGATGATATATGGTTTTTTTTGGTGCAAGGGCCATTTGATGGCCAAAGAGCGCCAGTTCATGGGACAAGGAATGTGGACAATGATTGTGATTAGCGGCTGTATAAGGGCCATAAAATTCCTCGCAGTAAGGCGGGTAAAAACATACAAGTAATAAAATGATGACCATGCCGTGAAAGATGTGTATGGTGTGAATGATGACAAAAGTTGGTGATAATAAGACGATGGTGGATATGTATGGCATTAGCACAAGTGCCTCACTCGTTCATACCCTTGCGTCCAAGGGCCGTGAGGCAAGTGCTTTCTTGTGTAACCTCCGCAGCAAAAACCTCTCTACAGAGGTCGTGCTACGGAATGCCCGGGTATATGATATGAAAATTATGAATTTCTTTTAAAAACGCTAACAATGATTTATGACTAAAAAGCGGTTCCCTACCGACGAACATGGCAAGGTGTAAAGGTATATGCTGTCGGTAGGGTAATGGAAAATGTTGTCTTCTTAGAGTGTCTAACTGTTTACATTGAATTAAAACGTGAAGAACTGTTAATGCTTCACCACATTTATCACACAATGGTAAATCACCACCGGACAAAAGATGTGTGTGTGTCGTGTATGTGTGTCCTATCCTGAGTCTCGTTAGTATTACCTCTGTATGATGCAATTTTGATACTGGCAGCCAATGACCAAGGTGTGGCTTAATAATGTGTAGTTTGTTTTGTGTGTGTGTGTATCCCACTTGCTCTGCCAGTAGTCCCTGAGGTTTCGTTTGAGAGACGGCTTAAGATCAAGGGCTGGGATTAATATGGGTGTAGGGGCAGTGCTTTTGTCGACGGATGCAGCGAGCTGATCCGCCCTCACGTTGCCTTGAATCTCACGGTGCCCTGGCACCCAGCACACTACAACATGTTGGTCGAGTGTGTAGAGTGTGCATAAAATGGAGTAAAGTGAAACGAGGACAGGGTTTTTTTGTTTTTTAAGACTGTGCAGAGCCGTTATCACACTGAGGGAGTCTGTATAAATTACTGCTTTTTGTATTTGTGATTGTTTGATGTGTTTAGCTGCCACAAGTATCGCGTAAGCTTCCGCTGTGAAGATACTTGTGCCTGGATGTAGAGGGCCAGTATCCGAAAAGGATGGGCCGACAGCAGCGTAGGACACAGAGGAGTTAGTCTTGGAGGCATCTGTGAAGAACTCAGGACGTGTGTATTTGTGTTGAAGTTCCAAAAAGTATGTTCGGATATGGGCAATAGGTGCATGTTTTGTAACTTCTAGGAAAGACACATCGCAGTCTATAGTCTGCCACTGCCGCCGTGGCGGGTATGCTACAGGAGCCATTAAACTGTGTTCGAGTGACACTCCAGTGTCCTCAGCTAGACCCTTCAGGCGAACTGAGAAGGGCTGCCTCATCGAAGGCCTGTTTTGAAACAGAGTTGAGC